GGGAAGATTGGAGAGTAAAGTACAATAAATTAAATTTTCTGTCATCGATATTTGACCAATAATCCAGCTTCACGCACCTCTTACAGACACAGTTGCACTTGTCTCTGCACTCCCTGCTTGACACGTGTAGCTGCCGCTGTCCTCAGGTTTAAGATCTTTGATGTAAAGCTGGAGAAAGCAGCCATCTTGCCTCACCTCATACTTCCTGCCGGCTCTTATCGGCAGCCTGTCCTTTTTCCACTGAATCGGCACTCCTAGTTTAGATATCTCACAGTAGAGGCAGGCCGAGCCTCCTTCTTCAGCTTCTACACTTTGTAGCTCCTCTTGAAAGTATGGAGGAAGTTCTGGAATAAAATACAAAAGTGAAAGTTTTGTAAAATTTTATATCTGAAGAAACTTTTGATGCAAATGAAAAAAAACAAACAAAAAAACAAAACACAGAATAAAATTAGACTTTTCATCCCTATAACAAGAAAATAAAATAATTACCTGTTACAGTCAGCTTGAAACTGCTCTGCACATCTCCGGTATCACAGGAATATATGCCAGTGTCTTGGGGCTCCACATCATGGATAAGAAGCAGATTGACTTTACCCTCCTTGCGCATCTCATATTTATCACCACTTCGAAGTGGGACATGGTTGCGCTTCCAGGTAACCATGGTGATGCAATCAGATGTAGCACAGGACAGGAAAGCTGTCTCTCCTTCCATGATGACAGTGTCTTTGGGTTTCTCCTCAAACAAAACTAACATTTGAAGTCAAATGTTAAAGTTCAAATAAGTTCAAATGAAAACTAGATGATTTAATCTGGATGTGCACTTCGTCTCCCCCTTTTTTTTTTTTTACCCACCTTTGGGCTTAGGGAGAACCAACAGTTTTGCAGAGGTCCTTTCCTCCCCAACTACAAATGCTACGTTGCCGGTCTCCTCTGGTGTCGTCATGGTGAGGACGAGGCGGTGCTGGCGGCCACGGCACGTCATCTGGTTCATCTCGTTTTTCTGCAGGGGGCTCGAACAAAGCCACCACATGCCCTCGCTCACGTCTGCATGGGTCAGCTCGCACACAAACACAGCGTCTTCTCCAGCTGTCACTGTTAGGTCCTGCAGTTCTTTCACAATCTTGACACGCTCTGCGGAAAAATAAGGAGCAATGTCCAGCCAGTTCTTTAGATAAACAAAGTTAAAAACGATCAACTTCAGCACACCTAAAGATTTTGCTTCACAACTGCTTTTTTTTTAAATCAGGGGCTACCTTGACAGAAGCCCAAGCCCCATCTGAAGAAAAGCAACCTTGGATCACGATACTGTCACCACAATGTTTCACTATGGGTATGGAGTTCTATTTATGCGCAGTGTTGTTTTCGCCATAAGCCAATCTTTTGGAATTGGGACAGTAAGTTGAAGTTTGATTTCAGACCAGAAATCAAACTTCTGGTCTGTTCAGGGGATTTTTAGTCAGAATTGGATGTTGTCTTTGGAAGAAAATGCTTCTATCTCTCAACCCTACTCCATTGTACAGAAAAACTGAGAATAAAAAAGCTTAATATCGAGACACATCCAATACTAGTCACAAATTCCTGCAGCTGAATCAGTTACTGTCAGCCTCTTCACATCATCCCTGACCTCTTTTCTGATTTTAGCTCAGTGATGCAAAATGACCAAATACCGAGAAAAGCTTTAAGTTCCTTCTGGTTAATCAGATTCGTTATAACTGAGAGCACGTGTCTACCACAGAAGACTGGATGCTAGAAAAAGAAGTAACTGTTTAAAGGGGTGTAGAGCTTCTTTCATTTTATGGATTTTCTACCCAAAAGATTTGGATGTTTTAAGCTGAAATGCATGACATATTTATTACATCAAACACTTATTACTCATTTATATTTGTGTTAATTTTTTTTATATCAGATAAAAATTAACAGGGATATTAACAGGGGTCAGAATACATTGCACCTACCCCTCACAATCAGTTTGGCAGTGGTTTTCTTTCCTCTGGTGATGCAGCAGTACTCTCCAGCATCCGCCAGCTGCAATTTCTTAATCTCCAGAGTGTGCAAAGGGCCATTTTTTCTCACTATGTAATGCTCTCCGTCTTCCACCACAGTGCCGTCTTTCTTCCAAGTGACAGGAACATTAGCACTAGAAACTTCACAGGACATGAGCACAGATTTCCCCTCCGTAACCACTTGGCTCTCTAGTTCCTTCTCAAAGTACACAGATGCTGCAGCTGGTAAACACAAAAGGAGAAATTACATTTGCACAAACATGTGAGGTTATTGTTCACTCAAGGGCTTGGGTGGGTGGTAGATAATTATACAGTCTATTTATTAATCAATGTGTCAAAAATTATTGTACTTACTTACCTTATTAATTTCCTTTGTTCTTTACATTATTTCAAGTTAAATAAAGAGATAAAGTAAAGTATTCAGCCATGAAGTAAATTAAGCTGTAAATAAAGTCGAGTTAAGCCAAATTCTTTAGTCACTATCATCATTTTGGCTTATTAAATAGCATAACCTGTACTTAATTCACAGTCTTGCAGGTTAGGGTGGATGCAGCAATGAGCTCAGTTCAAATTAAAAAAAAAAAATAAAAAAAGTGAATCCCAACCTTAAAAGGATGAAGAAAAAAAAAATACGGTAAGTCTACAGATTGTAAGCATCTTATTTCCCTTACCTCTCACGTTGACTTCAGCTGTTGTCTTTTGACCTCCAAATACGCAGCTGTATTCTCCAACATCCTCTGGTTGTATGTTTCTGATGGTCATCTCAGCCATGTTCCCTCTCTGTGTCATCTGGAATCTCCCTCCGTGGTACAGCTGGTCCTCCCCTTTCCACCACTGCACGGGCACCCCGGCCCTGGACAGCTCACAGCGCAGACACACTTTCCCTCCCTCCGGAGCCTCCTGGTTCTTCAGACCCAGTTTGAATGTTAGAGGGATGGCTGGGGAAACAGAGGGTCAAAAAAATTAATTTACACAATTATTGCAGTATTTATCACTATAAATACATGTTCACCACTCAAAACTTTGAGAAAACGTGGCTTAGGTTATGGTTTAGATGGAAAATACAATATGTATGGCTACAAAGCTTTGAAATGCATTAGAACCTCAACTGAATAATGCCAGAGTGGCCTGTGATGCATTATAAAATGCCTGGGTTATTTACACTCAGTTGGTTAATTTTCGCTAGAATCAGTTCTTATACCTTCCTAAAAGTTCAAGACAAATAATATATTTCTTATACAGCATAACATTTCTCCAAATCTTTGTCTTCAGGTAGCTACAATTCAATCAATCAATCAAGTTTATTGTTATACCCCATTTCACCAACAAGGCAGTTCAAAGTGCTTTCCATCATAAAATTAGCAAGTGTCTATTTAGGTTTTCCCTCAAAAAGCCCCGTTTTGCTGGGATTTATGCTCTGAATGGTCAAGTGTTACACATAATTCTGGGGTACTGCCTTCTGCAAAGACAGTGCATCCATGGTTGTAATATTTGGACTTTGTAACTCTGCAGACCCACATACTTGCAAAGGTAGTCTTAATTCTCCAGTACTGCAATGTGTAGGTACAGCAAGTCAAGGCATGGTTAAATATTAAAGTACTCCCTAGAGTGGCTAATTTACATATTTTATTAGTATCATTCATATTAATAAATGTACATTACGGAAGCAAAGTTTATGTTAAAAAAAAACATGTAAAATACGATCATTAAGTCTCCTCTTCAACATAAATAAGTTTAAGCTGCTGTGGTGCAGACAGTTTGAGGAGTGAAGATCATGCATCATGCTAAAAAGTAAAAAAAAAAAAAAAAAAAGTTGAGAAGAAAACCTATTGTGTCTTTTGATTTTCATTCAGTTTAAGATCATTTCTCTCAGACATGGAAGCTGTTTCACCTCATGAGATTTATAATTTAGCAAGCACTCTTACGTGTAATTGTGACATGCGCTGTGGTCTTGACATCTCCACACATACAACTGTAGAGCCCGCTGTCCTCCAGTTGGGTGTTCTTGATGGTCAGCTCCATGATGCTGTTTCGGTTTTTAATCTGGTACTTGAAATCACTCTTCAGTAGCTCTTTCCCTTTTGCCCACTCCACAGCGAGGCCGGGCTTTGACAGTTCACAGCTCAACGTCACATTGTTTTCCTCCTCCACCTGCTGGTTCCTTAGCTTTGTTTTGAATGTGACGGGCGGAGCTGCAATATGAAGAAAATGTTTATTATTTACGTTGCCTTGGGTTTTTTTGTTTAGTCCTAAAACAAAGGTTTCTTGATTTTTAAGTAAGCCTCCAGATCTTCTGCTAACTTTTACTTCAGTTCTATGATATTTAGTATGCTCTAACAGCTGAAGTTTTTTTTTTTTTTTTACTATGGAAAAATACCTTATTTCAACAATTCCTTGAAACAATTGTTTTTATTTTACATGTAAGCTACTGGCTGAAATTAACAGTACCGTCTCAGGTTTAGAAAGGGAGCACATTTCGCAAAAACAGAAAGTTTAGGCCTTATTTAATTGTGTTTTCTGTCTTCTAACCTTTGACTGTGAGCTCAGCGGTGGATTGACTGTCCTCTGTTTTGCATGTGTATTTTCCGGCATCGTTCTCCTCCACGTTGTTGATGATCAGCTTGGTGAGACCTCTCTCTTGTTTCATCTCATACTTGTAACCAGCCTTCAGGATGACTCTGCCTTTTCTCCAGTCGACCGGAGCGCCGGGTTTGGAGAGCTCGCAGCAGAAAGCTGCACTGTCTCCTTCCTTCACCTCCAAATTCTCAACTTCTTTCTTGAATGTCACAGGAAGAGCTGGAAAATACCGTAGGAAGTTTCAATACAGATGATCTATTTTAAATGTCTTTAACATTCTTACTTTGCAGAAAATATTGTGTCTTCCCCATACGTTCAACATGAATCATACCTCTAACTTTGATGTCAGCTGAAGTCACAGCAGTCCCAGCACAACAGCTGTATTCTCCTGCATCTGCAAGAGTTACAGTTCTAATCAGCATCTCTGCTGCTCGGCCCTCCTGCTTTATCTGGTATTTTTCTCCATCCTTCAGAAGTTGTGCATCTCTCCTCCACTCTATTGCTTGTCCAGGTTTGGAAAGTTCGCAGCGTAATGTTAGACAACCATCCTCCACTGCTTCCTGGTTCTTAAGTTTTTGCTTGAATATCACTGGGATTGCTAAGGGGAAAAAAAAAAAAAACTGATCTTTTACAACATCTTCAATGCACAAGATGATTTCATTTTAAGACGGTAGTGGTGTGTCTCACCAGTAATTGCAACACTTGCTGTAGTTTTGACATCATCACAAATGCAACTGTAAGAGCCGCTGTCCTCTGGGAGGCTTTTCCTGATGAGAAGCTCTGGCTTGGAGCCGTTTTGCCTGATCTGGTATTTCTCACCGCTGGTGAGCACGACGTCACCCTTCTTCCACTGCACTGGGAAGCCCGGTTTGGAGAGCTCACAACAGAGTGCCACGCCGTTTCCCTCCTGTACTTGAATATTCTTCAGATCTTGAATGAATTTAATGGGCCTTTCTACATTAAGTAAAAGAAACATACTCAGACTGTGACTTGTTTCGTCCCAGTACCACAAGTTGTTGCATAAAGAATACTTTTGATCTAAGCAGTACACCCACACTAAATGTTAGCACAATAATCTTTTCGTCCCTCTTTCTAAACTCAAGTTACACCACTCATCCTCCTCACTGCAACCTCTCCTCATCATAATTTGATTTGATTCTAAAAACGTATTTCAGTTTTGTCAAAACCATTAACACAACAAAAACGCACTAGAATACTAAACACAGCAGATTTATTACAGATTCAGTTATACATTTACATTTATTAACACTGTTCCCAGCATAAACTAGTTGGATTATGGACAAATCAGTGTAATTCATCATCTTGTAAATTTCTTGTCACCATTCATCATTTGTCTCTTTACTACACATCTTATCTTCATTGTTTCTCCAAAACTCTTAAGTTTCCTTCAATTTAAATGCATCACACATAGAAAGGTTTAAGAAGAAATATCTTCTTAAACCTGAAAATGCAAACTTATAACAATGTTACTTTTTTCCAGACAAAGATTTAAACTGCATGAAGTTGCACGCACCATTCACTGTGATCTGAGCTGTTGTCCTTTCTTCCCCACATACACAGGTGTAATCTCCAGAATCCTCCACTGTGAGGTCTGTGATCTTCATTTCCACCTGCAGGTCTTTTTTCCTCATCTGGTACTTGTCTCCATTCCTGAGTAGCTGTCCTCCTCTCCTCCACTCCACAGAGTTAGCAGGCTTGTTGAGCTCACAGTGCAGAGCCACAGCATTGCCCTCTGTGACCTCCTGGTTAACTAATAGTAACTTGAAGCGTGGAGGGAGATCTGTCAGTAACAAAAAAAAACAAAACAATTATTTTGTTTTGTCATGGTACTGAGCTTGAGAGAGGATAAAACTGATGGCAGTAGTGGCAGGGAATGGAGGATGTCTCAGGTGAAAGGTAGGTGTCCTCACATGAAGTGTCATGCTCATAATGATCTCTATCTATTCCGGTCATAAGTAGATTTCACCCACTTCTACCAGATTACATGAAAATAATTATAATTTAGGTAATGAGTCTTTAACTAGGTGGCACCATGACACAACACACCCTTGTTTTGATGTGAAATGACTCCAGTGGATTTCAGAAAAGTACACACCCCTATTGAAATTGCTGGTTTTAGTAAAAAAAAAAACAAACAAACAAACAAACAAAAAACAAAACTAGAAATAATAATTTAAAAACTTTTTCACCTTTAATCCATAAATTGTGTAATTAACGAAATATACAATCTAAGCTAATATTGTGTTTAAGCATCTTTAAATTGAATTTCAGCTTTCAGTCATCTTTGGTAGATACTTAAAATAAATAAGAAATCTGGAGATTTCTTTGAACATTACTTAAAATGAAGAAATGTTCAATTGTCCTTGAATGTTTTTCCTGACATTTGCACATGTCCATCCTTTAGCTGAAGTCCTAGTTTGCAGAAGACACAAAGGATTGGAGGAACGTCATTACACAAAGGAGAAGTACAGAAAATTGTCACTATAGTATTAGTTACTAAAAAGGCATAGCACTCTGGATAAAATTTCATTGAAATCTTAGAGAATCTTTTTTATCAAGAAAAAACTGGCAATGGACAAGACATGTTCACAATTAGACAGATTATGTTAACAACCACCATGTAATGTTAAATATTGCCAAGAAAAGAAGACTGGAAGCTGAATATGAATCAAAATATTTTCAAATGATTTAAAATGTTCCTACTTTGTACTTTCATAAAAACAGGCATTTTCAACAAGGGTGTCTAATTTTTAAGATCTACCTTGTTTGACATGTAATTTCACTTACATGAAGAAACAAACTGTGCAAAATACAATTGTTACTAATGAGTCAAGGAGACATCAGGAAAGGAAAATATGGCAGAATGAACACAAATTACAGCTACATTAAGCTACGTTTGGGATAAACAGGTGGATGACAGATATGAAGCAAAAAGTCTCCTTCAGGGATACAAGACATAAAGGAGCTGACACTGTGAGTGTGATTTTTGGTTTTTATTTTGAGGCTGACCTCTTTGACGTCTGCGCTCAGGTGATTCTGTTGAATACACGGTAAATCAATTTCACAGAAAGAAGAATGTAATATTTGAAATCATTGATAGAAAGTGTCCCGGTGTATTTTTAGAAGCCATAAAGATTTCGCTCTCACCTCGCACTCTGAGCTCAGCACTGGATTGGCTGTGTTTAGTCTTGCAGGTGTATTTGCCAGCATCGCTTTCCTCCACGTTGTTTATAATGAGTTTGGTTAGATGGCCCTCCTGCTTCATTTCATATTTCTCTCCTGGTTTCAGGATCACTCTGCCTTTTCTCCACTCCACAGCAGCTCCAGATTTGGAGAGCTCACAGCAGAAAACTCCACACTCTCCTTCTTTGACCGACAGGCGCTGGAGTTCTTGTTTGAATGTGACAGGAAGCGCTGTGGTGGCGTTTTTGAAAAACATCCGTTAAACAAACATGCTCATCTGCTCTTATTCTTCTGTAATTCTCAAAATTGTATAACTGCTATGAAGGTTTACTTTTATATCCCAACTTACCTTTGACTCTGATTTCTGCTGTGGTTTTCTCATCACCAGTAACACAGCTGTACTTCCCTGCATCATCTGGTTGTGCGTTGACAATAGTCATTGAAGCTTTCCTTCCTTCAACCTTTATCTGGTATTTATTACGGCCTAACTCTTCAGACAGCACCTGACCCTCTTTCAGCCACTGAATAGGAACTCCTTTCTTTGACAGCTCACATTGTAAAGTCACGCTATTTCCTTCTGCCACCTCTTGGCTCTTCATACTCACTTTAAATGTGGCAGGAACCGCTATTAAAACAGAAATAATTGAGAGAATTTAAACCAAGCACAGGCAAGGCATAGTAGTTTAAAAAAAAATAAAAAATCAACTCCTCCAATACAGTACTGGGCAGTAGTTTTAGAAATACTCATCATTGGCATGAATGACACATTAAGTTTGATGATGCATTAATGATACACTTTAATTTTTTCCAGGGTGGAATGATGGTAAAACATACAAATATAGTAAATTTTGAAAACATGAAATGAGCGCACAGTTTTTCAATTTACTAACTTTCCCCTAACTCACATGTCTTTCAAATTAAATATACAGACTCAAATATATCCATATATCTCCAAAGATATTTGGACTATATGGTTTTATTAGCCACCAACAACACCTCCACCATACTTGACAGTCTGTACAGTGATCCTTGGTCTTCACTTATCCAAAATACTCTCACTGTCACCACACAGCTCAACCTTTGTCTCTTCTGACACCAAAAAATATTCTGAAGGCTTTTGGGTTTTCCATGTGGGCATTTGCAAATGTTACTTGTGCTTGGGTGTTCTGACAAGGACCTTGATCCCAAACACACTCAAAACACAATGCACTGGATAAATCAGGCTAATGATAAGTAGCCCTGACCTCAATAAAATTTAAAACATTTGGACTATCAATAGACCACGCCAAGAAAGCTACCAATTGAATTAACTCCTATTTGACAAGAAAGAATGATCTAACATGCAGTGAGAATTGTTTGTTGCATCCTTATTGACATGTGAATCCTGCTGTTTTTCAACATCTTGCCAAGAGATCTTCATCCAAATACTGTTTCCACATGGAGGGTATGTATTTATGAATTTAGCTTACATTGTGTGAATCTGGTAAAAGATTAAGTTCAAGCTTATCCACTCATTTTTTTAGGCTTTATCGCTACAACCTAGATAAATATTGATTCAATGCAGCCTTTAAAGCCCAAAAGTAATATTATCTTCATGCACATGCTGCATGTTTGTAAACTTCTGGCAAGCACTTAACATTTAGGAAGATAAAATGTACTAAAATTGTCTCACAGAAACCATACCAATGACTTTTACAGTGGCCTTTGTCTTCTGCTCTCTGCACACACAGGTGTAGATGCCGCTGTCCTCGGGCACAGCATCCCTGATGGTCAGTTCCAGGGTGGAATCCCTCTGCTTTATCTGGTACTTCTCTCCATTCTCCAACTGCTCTCCTCCAAGCCTCCACTCAACTGGGACACCAGCTTTTGAAATCTCACACTGCAGTGTGATGTTGTGTCCTTCTTCCACTTGCTGGTTCTTCAGCTTTTGCTTGAAGGTCACAGGAATGGCTAAAAGGTAAAATAAATAAATAAATAAATAAATAAATATTTACTAAAAGACGTTGTAAAATGGCTATTGTTTCTAAAACAGCTTGATTTTAAGGAGGACGTCGTCAGCATACAACTTTATTTCACATAAATGATATCTAAACCAGTTTAAAAGCATGTCAATCTGATAGAATCTAATGATCCTAACAAAGGCCGATGATCCAAAATATAAAATGTTTTAGCTTAATTTAGCTTATTTATTTTTTGTTACCATTTACAGTCAGGGTGGCTGTTGTCTCAATGCTTCCACAGATGCAAGTGTAGATATCACTGTCTTCAGGAGACACATCAATGATCCTGAGTTCAGTAAGAGTGTCTCTCTGTCGCACGTGATACTTTTCTCCATTCCTGATGACTCTGTCTCGACTTTTCCTCCACTCTACAGTTTGACCAGGCTTGGAGAGTTCACAACGAAATGTGGCGGTGTTGCCCTCCTCAATCAACACGTTCCTCAGCTTCTGTTTGAAGGTGACTGGCAGAGCTGAGGGAGTCACGTGTAACCATTGTTTAGACAGCTAACTCCAGTTTATTCTTAAGCCCATCATTCAGCTCATTAGGTAATAAAATTTTACCGGTGATCTTGACTGTGGCAGATGTCATCTGATCAGCACACTCACAGCTGTACACCCCACTGTCCTCAGGTGCAGGTTTCCAAATCAGGAGCTCCAAAGTGGTCTCCCTTTTCCTCATCTGGAACTTGACACCGTTCCTCAGCAGTTCGTGCTCCTTCCTCCATTCTACTGGGATTCCAGGCTTAGAAATTTCACAGCGCAATATCACACTGCTGCCCTCCTCAGCTTGTAGGTTCTTCAGTTTCTGAACGAATGTAATGGGAATAGCTGGGAAAAACACAGAACATACTGAACTTTCAACTTCTCAGATCACAACTACAAAACAGACTAAAACATTTTTTTTGGTTGTTTTCAAGATTTATTTTTTTTTTTAAAGAAAAGTGTTGCAAAATAAAAATGCAGTTATAGTAACAAATACTTTTAAAATGTAAAACCTAAGAACTTCTCTGTGTCTCTTGCTCAGTGTGTTTCATATTTGTAGAAAAAATACACACTTTGTAACACAAAGCTTTTCAGTAAGACAGTAAACATTGTGAACAAAAAGTCTATTTATATAGCTTACCATGCACTTTGAGACTGGCTGTCGTCTGGTGTTGCCTGCAATGGCATGTGTACTCTCCTGAGTCCTCAGGCAGAAGTGCTCTGATGGTGAAAGAGATGATGGTTTTCCTCTGCTTCATGACATACTTTTCTCCAGGTCGGATGTTCTCAAAACCTTTCCTCCAATGAAACTGGACTCCAGGTAAAGAATATTCACAGGTAAGTGTAACAGCCTCTCCTTCTTTGGCCTCCACAGCATGCAGAGGCTGGGTGAACTCTGCTGGGATGGCTGAAGAAGACAGGAACCTTTTACAAAACCTGCTACGACTTTAGTAAATAAGGAAGACATGGTAACAATAAGTGGCACATTTTATGTTCATACCTTTGACAGTAACGACAGCTGTGGTTGTGACTGAGCCAGCACTGCACTCGTACACTCCAGCATCGCTGTTGCTGACCTCTCGAATGGTCAGTCGGGCTTCACAGCCAGAATGGGTGGTGAAGTATCTGGAGGAGTGCCACATCAGGCAGCCATCTTTGTACCACAAGATGTGACATGGCTTGGAAGTCACACAAGACAAAACTAAGCCTCCTCCCTCAAAAGCCTCACAGTCTTCCAGTGATTTGATGATGGTAGGACGCCTCTCTGGTAACATGAAGACAAACGGACTTATTATCTCTGACTGAAGAGTAAATAAATATTAAGTAGTCATAGAAAGGTCAAAGTCCTTACCTCTAACTAGCAGTGAGGCATAAGATCTTTTGTCCCCTGCTACAAACGAAATAGTACCAGTGTCTTTACGGGCAAGTTGTCTAAATGTAAGGGTGTGGAAACCTCCCGGTGTCACCTGGATCTCATTGAGCTCATTAGTATAAAGCAGAGTCTCGTCCAGATACCACTTGACCCCCCAATAGTTATCGGGACAAATTCGACACCTGAATGTTACAGTGTCACCTTCGAGGCACTCCACATCTTCTAATTCATCCAAGATTATCACCTTCTGACCTGAAATAAGGAAAAGTCATAACCACATGAAGACTAAATACAGTAACTATTATCAGCTTTTAAACTTTTGTCCTCATTTTATCATTTTATCAGGATTTGATGGTACCTGAGATAATCAAAGTACTTGACTAATAAATAGTCTAGAAATAAAAATCGGAAAAGTCTGCTGGGCTTTTGCATAAAGCCAAGCTGAGCCAATATTTTGTAGAACAAATCTTCCTGGGATTTTTGCGTTTCAAATCTAGAGACTGAGAGCTATATCTATTCTTTGCAAAATGACAAAAGTTCAGTTAATGTGCTAAAGAGTGCCTGTTAAGATCAATTTTCAAGTACTGCAACAGATTCTCCTTCTGAACCACGACTTTGTCACATTTCCATATTTTTGCTGTGTCCCCAAAATGACTTATAGTAATCTGCAGTTCATTCAGAAATACAAGAGTTAGACTAAATACATCTGCAGATTCTTCTTTCTAAACATTTTGAAAACCATGTATTCTTTTGCTTATACTACATGGTTACCCATCTATTTTTGCTTTATCACATAATTCCTACAAAGTACAGTGTAGTTTATGATTATAATGTGGCAAAATCAGAATACTTTTAGATGAATACTTTGAATTTGAATGAATACTTTTAAAGAGACACTATGATCACAATGGTTTTCGGGAGCTTTTTTAAAAAAAAGCTATGATTTTTGCCAAGAAAAACAGTAATTAATAGCTGCTTACTGTTAAGGTCTTATATTACTTCATTTTAATAAATCAGCTATTGGAGTATTTTCCGTTATATTGTGTTGGATGACCGAAACGTCAGCAAAAACTTATTTTATATGGCACAGCATAGGAACCCTTTTGAAAGGAAGTAAACATGGTTGATCAGCAGTGATCCTACCAAACTAACACACTTTGCATATTGACTCACCCTGCACAGTAAGTTGTGCCCGGCTCTGCATGGTACCAACATCGCACACATAAATATCCGTGTCTGTTTTCTCTAGGCAGGTGATGGTAAGGGATAGAACCACTCCCCTCTGTTTGATGACGTACTTCTTCCCAGGTCTGAGCTCCGCCATGCCCTTTAGCCATGTCGCACGCTTGGCAGGCCGCCTGGTTTCACACTCCAGTGTCACTTTACCCTTTTCTTCTCCTCGAGTATCTCTCAACTCCCTTGCAAAAGTGTGCTGAAGTTCTAAATTGAAGAGAAAGTAAGTTCAGTCGATTTTGCCAAAATACATACTTTTTTTTTTATTTACACAACATAATTATAATAAATTATTATTTTTTATCCTGACTTTAATAAGGCAACGTCATATGCCAGCATTATTTTAGCGCATTGCCAGCAGTCTTTCTTCATATAAGTTGCAGGAGATTCGTTCGTACTATGAAGTTAATCTCCAATTCCAATACATCCTAAAGATGCTGTTTTACATGAAGATCTTTGTTGTTCTTGAGAAAGCTTTTTGAGTTATTTGGGCCTTTGTGATATGGTGAATTAACTTGCCGGGACACAGTGTGCTGATAAAAAGATACTGATCATTTACACCAATTTCTGAAACCCTCATCCAAATCATACAGCTGGAATCAAGATTCACTGGGGACGAGAACAGTTTTTCAATTGTTGGTGAGCCAGTGTGAATTGTAGCCTCAGAAACAAAATAACATCAGCTGTATCCCATGAGACTCTTACTTCAAGTGAAAGATTAATAAAAAATAAAACATAACTACCTCTGATCTCCACCTTGGCTCGGGATGCAACACCATCAGCCTCGCAGCAGTATTCACCAGAGTCTCTGATGGAGGCATTCTTGATCACCAGGCGTGCCAGGTTCTTCTCAATGCTCATCTCATATTTAGGGCTCTGCCTGATAGGACGTCCATTTTTCAGCCACCGAATGGTGGCTTCTGGTTTGGTGATTTCACAGCTCAGCTCAGCGTCCTCCCCAGGTACAGCCTTTACATTGAGCAGGTCCCTGAAGATGTGCACAGGCTTCTCTAAAGGAGGAAAAATACTAAGCACCTTACTATCTGCTTCAAATTGGCAAAACAAGCACATATTAATAAGACAGAGCTGTTCACCTTTCACAAATAACATGGTTCTACAACTCAGGTCTTTAATTGTGAAGACAACGTCACCAGCGTCAGAGAGTACGACATCTCTAATCCCCATCTTATAGATGCGATTGTTGTGGACAAGCTGAATGCGACTGTTGGTAACCACCACCTGACCGTTGATGGTCCAAATGGGTTCATCATCCAGTTCATGAGAGAGAAGGCACTCAAAAGTACAGTTTTCACTCTCCAGAACAGATACTGTCTTTATCCGCTGAACAATGGTAACATGTAGATCTGCAAACACAAGAATTGATAAAAACAGCCCCACTCAGGTGAATGTGGTAAAGAGCCAGCTATTTTAGATTGAACTACACCAACTGCAAAAAATGAAGGGGTTAAACTGTCCAGTACAGTTTACAGCTTCCTTACCATGTACTGTAACTTTAGCCTTGGACTGACTGGTGCCCAGGTCACAAGTGTACTGTCCAGCATCGTTCTTGCTTAGTGAGTGGATGATCAGTGCCCTGGACTTCCCGCACTGTACAAACTCATGTTTATCATCAGATGTCAGGACAGTTCCATCCTTCCTCCAGAGAGGTGTTACTGAATCTTTAGAGATTTCACACTGCAAGCAGACCTCCCCTTGCTCTTCTCCAACGACATCCTCCAAAGACCTAAGAAACACTGCCGGGCGTTCTGGAGACAACAAAAGTTCAAGCGAGTTTATGTGTTCCCCTAATTCAGGTGGGGTTTTTTTTATCATGATCTTCAGATAATTCCGTATCTGACCTTTAACCTTTAAGATGGTTGTCTCATTGAGAAGGCCTGCTTTAAATGTGACCCTACTCTCCTGTGGTCTAAGCTTTTGCATCACGAGGCTGTGCATTGTGCCCATGTGATGGATCCGGTTGATGGCGTTAGCGCTGAGGCGGACGTTGTTAACCAGCCACTCGGCATTGGCAACAACATAGTTGAGCTCACATGAAAAAGTGGCAGTGCCATCTTCCTCAATGTCAACAGGCTCAAGATGCTTGACCAGCTTCAATGTTTTTGCTGTAACACAAAGACACAAATGATCATGATTAAGCAAACTGCATACCACAGTGATATTAAAAAGACCTTTTATTGACGCACCTTCAACCTTGACCTGTGCTGTGCTTTGTGAACCTCCAGCCATGCAGCGGTACTGTCCTGCGTCAGTCCCCGTCAGGCCGTGAATGATCAGTTCCACTCGTTTCCCCTCTCTCTTCATGGTGTATTTGTTTGAGATCTTCAGAGCGGTGCGACCTTTAAACCACCGCACGACTCGGGGAGACGGGGCAAACTCACAGCACAAACTCACAGAGCTGCTCTCCCTTGCCTCCACATCATCTAAGTGCTGAACAACCTCAAGAGGTCGCTCTAATGAGGGGATGCGCACAACATCCAAATTAATTAGAGTTTTGCAGTTCATGATCATTGGGTCTTTGTTATCAAGAAGAAATGTAAACAATTTTTAAAAATATTAATCAAAGCAAATATATCAAAGCAAATTAATCTAAATCCTACCAAGGCTCCAAGTAAAAGGCACCGAATTTAACAACCAAAATTCTACATTGCAAATACAGATGTGGCACTCATGTAACAGATGTTTCACGGTATATTAAAACAGAATATATTGTTGGTTTTAATAAAAAACAATAATGTCGAAGCCATTTTTATTTTTTTACATCTGGCAAATACAGGAAATTGTTTGTTTTTTTCTTCACTGCCTTTAAAGTCATATAATTCCTTGCAAATGCTTTTTTGAAGTATTTTCCTAATTTTTTCACGTTAGAACATCGGTGCATCACATTGGGATGTCATGTCATTTTGAATGGAGGGCAGGAAAACTCACCCTTCACAGAAAGCTGAGCGGTGGAACGGCTCTTCCCAGCCACAAACACCACAGGCCCTGACATGGAGCTGTCTGTGCTTGTGAAACAGAGACTGTGGAGGTTCCCCTGCCGGTCAATGTTCACTCCTGCAGAGTGCTCCAGGACCTCACTGTTTAGGATCCACTTCGGGGGCCTCCCAGACTTTAGACTGGTTTCTACCTGGAATAGTGCAGGCTTCGGCTCCATCACCTCCACAGATTTCATCCCCCGCACTATGCTGATGGCTTGCTCTGCATGTGCAACAATAACACATATTAAAGTGACCACACAGCTTGTGCTTCCTGATTTGTGTCTTTGAAGAAAAGAAACACAAATATGTTAGCTGCTATTCATGATCCTGCACTTAAAGCTACTTGGCAAAAGTTGTACATTTTATGTAAAACAGATAGACCTAACACTATCTCTTATTCTGTTTTCTTTGACAACAAGTATCCCACCCTCTACTAAAAGTTGACATGACGTTTTGTCATCCCCTGCATCACATGTGTAGGTGTCTTCATCTGAAGAGCGAACATCTTCGATGGTCAGCTGCCTGTAGACATCCTGGCTGATTAGCTGATACTTCTTGCAGGGCAGGAGCTCCTTCCTGTTCTTGTACCATCTGACCTGAGCATTAGGCCGTGACACCTGGCACTCTAGTAAACCTCTGTGGCGATACATGGCAATTTTGACCCTCAGTGGTCGAGCTATTTGGACTGGCAGCTCTATAAGAAAAGAACAAAAAACATAGATGGTGAAAAATGTTTATCTTTAACAGTTGAATATTCTATTTCTACTGGGCATTGAAGATGTCTGATATAGTCAAAAATTTGAACAGCAATGATCACATTGCTGTATATCAGGTGGGAGTGTGTTGACTCACCTTTTACTGTAAGAGTGGCGTAAGATGACACTCGCTCTGCAGTGAATCTGATTTCACCTGCATGTTCTGGTCTGACGGACTTGAAGAGCAAAGCATGAGTTTTACCTGAAATTAGATTATGTTGAATACTTTTATATTTTCCACTTTCATCCATCATGTCTAGTTGTCTTTGAGTTCAAGATGCATTTTAAAGACTAAATGAGAAGTAAACACAGTGGTGAACACCTGTGCTTGTGAATGATAAATTTTCTCACCCTGATGTCTTATCTTGATGTTGTCTCCAGGTCGGATTCTGCAGTCATCACGATACCACCGACCATCCACATCCACCTGATTGACTTCACATATAAAACTAACGGGTTGACGCTCAAGCGTATCCACATCCTCCAGCTCTTTCACAATATATATATCTCTAGCTGACAGAAAAATTTAAAGTATGACCATCGTGTTAATGATAGAACTACAATGTGCTTTTTTTTGTATCTTTGCATCATTTTTTTTATACTTGATAAAGAATGAGTAAAATGAGAAAAAAATGCTGATGAAGGAAACAGAGTGAGATGATAATTAATATGTTCCTGACTTGAGTACATGAAAAAATGCTATAGTGAGAAACTATTGTTTCTAACAAAATTACTTATAGCACAAGGTGCTGTAGCAGTTGGAATTGTGTGGCGTCTCTTTAAGGCAGCTTAAGTTACTGTTTAGTGAGATCACAACTATTCATCACTGCCCTCCAGAGTTATGAGAGAATGTGTGATGTTTGATTAGACATCAGATGTTCAAGTGGGTTTTGTGAAGCTGATACAGATAGTGCTTAAATGACAAAACATGGTTTTCCAAGTTTTTGACTGTCCTGCCAAATATTACCACCACCTTCTCTCAACCACTAAATACTAAAACAACCCCCATTACAGCACCCTAATACTTTTTGTTCCACCAGAGTATAAATATAACATGACAGAGGGCCCTTTCTATTAAAAACTAACCGTTAGGCTGCCGTCGTGTATAATAACCAGAATATTGATGGGTGTAACTCCCCTATTGTCAAGTATGGTGGAACACACACATAAATGTTTGAGTGTGCTGGATCACCTTACCTCTAACAATGAGTCTGCCTGATGTCTCAACCTCACTGGCCCGGAAACAGTATAAACCAGCATCTCCCAAAGCCACTCGGTTCAGGATGAGGCAGTGTTTCTTCCCGTGCGTGCTGATGCGACAACTTGGTTTCGACTTAACCTGCACTCCATCCCTGATCCAAACGCCTTCTATGTAAGCCAGGTTAAGAGTCACCTCAAAGGAGCAACTCTCACACTCGGACACCTCCACATCCTCCAATCCTTTCACCACTTTCAGTCGGTTCACTGGCAAGCACACAACATTAGAGTTTTGAGAGGCAGCTAATCAGAGCACAAAAACCACTGAAAATTGGTTTTGAAAGTAAGTTTGATTGGAAAACCTACTTGCAGCTGCAACAATCCCTCCAGTTTTATTGTCCCCCATATCTCCAGAGGATGATGGATGTTTATTTACTTTCTACAAGGAATCTGCAGTGAAGAGAGAAATAGAAATAAGGTTCTAAGTAGATATCCTTTACATCTTTATGAAAAAAAAAGTGTCTTACTAAGACTAAAACAAACCTGAATCTCTTTCCACTCATTCATTCAGTTTGAGATCACACGTCACAACGACAATTTTGCCTTTACTACAGAAACTCACAAATGCAATGACCTAACTCACAGTCTACTACTGAAAATGTTTTTTTACTAGAGGCCTGACCAACCAAAGAAAAAAACCCAAATACTTATTCTCTCTTATGTACGATCTTTGGGATAGCATGCCAGCCATCCTAGCGGTCTTCCTTCCAACAGGAAAAACTAAACATACATTAGCAAGAATATGCAAGATTGGCCTAATTAGCACATATTGTTCACTTGAGGCTGAGGGGCTGAATACAAATGCATGACAAGGTCTCATAAGAACCCATTTTTAACATAATTTGAATTTTGTGGTTTAATGTCAAAATGTAAGAAAAAAAAAAAAAGTTCAAGGGTTCTGAATACTTTTGCAAGGCACTGTAGCACAAGATAAGACGTTGACAAACACTGGTTGCCAACAATCAATCTTATAATAAGGACAACATTGTACGTTTGAGTCTCAAAACAACATCTCATTTTTATTAGAGATGTTGCCACTACAAAAGATTAGACTCTTTTGGTTTAGAAGTGTGTTAATAGGAATATCTGCTAATTTATTTCAGGAAAGTATATTTAAGGTCAGACACTGATGTTGTACGAGGCTTGGCTCACAGCCTCCCCACTGTTTCATCCCAATAGATTTCTTATGGTTGGAGGTCAAGCCTTGTACAGCAAGTCCAGTTCCTATACACCAGTCTCACCCAGTCATTTCCTCACAGGCCTTGATTTGCACACTGTTGTTCAGTAACACTTGAACTGAAGGGACCATCTCCTGATTGTTCCTATAGAGTCAGGAGATGGCCTGACTCTATAGTCAGACACGTACAGCTGACCAAACTGTTTTGGTAAGTTGAAGCATAAAGAGTTCTGGACCCCAACCTCTGAAGGAAACAGCTCCACACCGTAATTCCCTCTGCACAAAACTTTACACTTGATGCAAGGGTCAGACAAGTGCTGTTTGGCAAATGCCAAACCCAGACTTGTCTGTTAGATTGCCAGAAAGAATGGCATGATTTGTCTCTCCAGAGAACATTTCTCCACTGGTCTAGAATCTGGTTTATGTGTGCTTGATATCTCTGTAGTTGATGCTTTGTGTTGGACTTGGTGATGTAAGTCTCACAGGTAGCTAGCTGTTCTAATGAAAGCCACATGAAGCTCTGAGGTCTGTAACTATAGTCTGCAAAGAGTTGGAGACCTCTATACATTATATATAAGCCAACATCCACATAATCCACTAGGGGATTTTCCTTGGACTACTCCTGTTTTGGCAAAGTTGTTGTTATTCCTAATTGCTTCCACTTTGTCATAATATCACTAATAATTGACTGTGGAATAGTTTGAGGAAATCTCATGACTGGACTTAATACACAGGTGGCATCCTATCATAGAAACACACTTGAATTCACTGAGCGACTCTTTCTTTTACAGATCTTTGTAGAAGTATTTCTCACAATTAGGGGCTGGGTCTTACACACACATGTAGCCATGAAAGTAACTGGAACACTTGAACGTAGTGACGAGGTGTTGACCCAGTACTTTTGGCTTTATGGTGTATCAAAAGATATCATGCAGAGTTGACAGTCTGACAACAATATGTCAGCAAAGGTGTAAATCTAATAAACAAATATATCTAACAAAACATAAAAATAAAAAGCAGATGATGTTAAAATACAACTGCCAAATGTTTAGTCACTAACAGGACTCAGATATATTGTGGAAAAGATTAGTCAAGGCTTTAGACTTTTACAAATGATAAGGCGTCAAACGCAGTGATTAACTTACCTAAACTTGCAGATAGAATGTCCTTACATCCATCTTGTTGCCTCAGGAAAATTACAAATGATCCATTATGACATCAGATCTGTCAATCCCGCCTTATACAAAGCCTTCAAGTTGAACGGAAAAAGCTTAACCAGTAAAAAGTAAGTCCAAGTTTGTTTGCTACATCCAGGTCTCTAAAGTTGACAACCTACAATACGCTTAGTGTTTTTGTGGTGTGATGGAGCAGGGTGCCGAACAGCTGACATATCTGTCCCCGCATACTAACCTCCAAAATAGCATTCTGGCAGTGTGAAGGCAAAGATATCTTTGGCTTTAATTGTGCTGGGAGGCAACTTGTTTTCAAGCATCAATGAAACCATCAGCAATCTAAATCCAAACTACAGGATTAGTGTGTTTGATTGTTTTCTCTGCGCATGAATGAGTGGCTCACAATTTTCCTCAAAACAATAAAGAGACCTTCTTGCATCATGTTATAGCTTGAGAACCCTCTCTTAGTGCTCACTGATGTCTGGCATTAGTTTAAACTTCAGGTCAGATGAAATCATTTCCATGCATCTCCAAAGGGGGGTTTCCATCTGCTGCTGCAGTGGAAAGGACATCAAAGATTAAGCAACATGAAGTATCCTATTTCACTGAATAAAGACAACAACAAAAAAAAAAAAACTATCCAAAAATATTTCCACACAACACTGATTACGTTACATTTACTTCAATTTGGATAAGTTGAAAAGTAATAAGTTAAAGTAGTTCAAACATTAACTATATTAAATTGACAACACTCTCACTCTCTTTCTTTACTATCTCTATTATATTTTCTTTATTTTTAACCATACTTTAAGTTTATGGGTCACCCTCATCTGCATGAAACACAGCCAGCAGCAACCACTGCTGTGTCTAAACCCTTGTGATGGACAGGTCCATGTGCTGTGGAGCTTTGTTAAGACCAGTGAAACTCTAGCGACATAATAATCTCTGCTGAGTCCTACCGGGACACAAGAAAACAACTTGTCGTCACACAGACAAGAATAGTAGTATATGAATTAAATTGCTATCTGTTCACAAGTCCTTATCAGCTTTTTTTTATTATTTATTTATTTATTTTTAACTCAAATTGTCTTTGACATTTAAAAATAGGAACAAAATGAGTTTTAACAGAAGAAGGCTTTGATTTTTGGACTATTTTCCTTACATCACATCCAAAAAGATATCTGAAAAGGCATAAAGCTTGCAAAAGTAACTTAGTACACCGAATCCTATTTAAGGTGTACACAAAAATAGGTTACTTACCTAATAACTTACTTGACCTTCAAATAGTGCATCCAAGTAATCAACATGTAAAACAGTAATCATGTCTTAAAACAGACATTCTGTTGTGATTAGATGTTATAATCATATTTTATAACAACATTCAGTGCCATAAAAAAAGTGTTTGCCTCCTTCCAGGTAAACTTTGGGTTTTTTTCAGTTGTCCTGAAACTAATTTAAACATAAGACAAATATAACATGAGTAAAGACAAGAATCAGCTGTCAAATTTTAAAAAGCTTCATTTTAAAAAGTTCTCCATCAATTAGCACTGCGTGAAAAGTATATGCCCCTAAAGGAATAATGATGTAAATGTTATTAACCGCACCTTTATGTCTGATTACTACCAAATCTGTAAAATCAAGAATTCCCTGGAACAAAGTCTGTTTGACGTGAGTTGGGGTTTTCCACCACATCTGATGCAAAACTCAGAAAAAGACGGTAAAGCATTGTAGTGGTAGTGTGATGGTCTGAGCCTGCTCAGTTTCTATGAGACGTGGACAACTTACTGTTAAAGACGGAACCATGAATTCTGCTCTCGGCCAGAAAGTCTCAAAAGATAATGTCGGCCTTTCATTTGAGCTTACGCTTTAGCGTATTTGGGTTATGGAGAATCCATAGTACACATCTGTTGACTTATGACTCTCACTCATAAAAAAAAAAAAAAAAACTATGACGCTGCTTCACATAATCCGTACAAAAACTGCTTTTTGTTTGGATTTTGTCTTTCTTTGTCTCATCTTAAAATGTCTTTGATATAAAATATTTCAGTTTTACCAAAAAACAGGACAAAAAGAGAAATAATTAAAGGGCCTTATACCTTTTCACAACTTTGAACTCTTAAGCATAGCAGCAAAATCAAACTTTATCTGCATTGTTAAATGTGAGACAGTGTGAAGATGCAAAACAAACCACAGAAATAAATATGAGAAATCTTTATTATAAAGACATTAATTAGAACCTCATTGGAATACTTAATAGCAAACATTAATGTGAGATTTTCTTCTTAAAACATGTATTCGACACAAAAATAAGAGCATTTGTGTTTGATAAATTGCCTCTGTTGCAATATCTTCTTGGCAATGCATCTTACTCCATTAGAAAGCTTGTCTACTTCCTCTAAATGGTGTTGCATTTGTAAGGAAAAACCATTTAATTGCTGGGCAGCAGAGTTGAGTGTGTTGGTTGTGCCCTTGGAAAAACTTGCCAGATCCTCTCTGCCAAATGCCAACATCTGCCAACAACGTCCCTTATTCGATCAGATGATTGAAGTCTGAAGAAACAAGACATATTACTAATTTAATGACTTAATTTAATAAATAGCCTGGTACTTCATGCTCAGACTGGTCACTAATTTGATCACACATCAGTGGGATCACTTCCCATCCATTTAGCACCACTCGGTGTGAAACAGCCAATATGGTTGTGTTACTTACTCTAGGACTAACTCAAAAAAACCTTCAAGGGGGAATAAAGGTGACTATGTCGTTTTAAAAGAACAACACAGATGTTGCATCAGTTAACTCTGTTTTGCCCATAACTTATCAAGCGATGTAGTTTCAGACTTGCATCAGCTGACTTGTACATGCTGTCTTTGGGGGTTGAGGAGCCGATGAAGTGATAATGTATGGTTTGGTTTTAAACATAACGATGCTTGACACCGTCAGTCGTTTAGCACTGTCGACCACATTTTCTGTACTTCCTTTGGAGAAGTATGAATGGCCAAAATCGGCTCAGAGGCGATTCCTCTTCATGGCATATGATAAGCCCCGCTATGGTGGGGTGTGTGTTGAAGTGTTCGAAAATAGAACTCGGTTTCTTAAAGTGGAGATATTGAATTGCCAATGACTGGAAAATCTCATCTCAATATCTCTCAGATTACAGTGGAGCTTTGGAAAGTTTTACATTCATACACTCCACACAACAAACGCATTTTCCTTTCAAATGTGGCACAACTTAAATAAAAAAGAAGGAGGTTTTCCAAATATATAGACTTACTGCCAAGTGATGTCATAGCAGCAAATACTGACCAAACAAAATGCCCTTACTTTTTGTGCAGTTTTATTTTTTCTTTTTGGTCTTTGCATCTTTCGCTTTAAGTAGTGCATCTTCTTTTTCAGCAGCAGCTTTAATCCTTCTTTTTCCTAGAGGTGTTTTTGCGTACCAGCTCTGAAGGAAAAACAAAGAAAATGTCTTAAATACATGCCTTAAAAATATAAAACATCATATTCTGAAAACAGAAATAAAAGACTCTTCTACTTTTTCTAACTATAATTTTAACCATATCACAAAAAAAAAATCAGAATTCTTCTTCTAAACCTGCTTTAAATGGCTTTTTGAATATTGCTGCTTCAACATACTTTTAACGCCTCTTCCTCCTTCTGGAGCACGGGCTCAAACTTGCCAAGTGGTACAATGAAATCATCAGCAGTGAGGGGGTGCTTTGTCAAGTCATTGATGCGATCCTTGGTGACAACACTGCTGATGACCTGCACCATTTGGCCTGGGGTGTAGCCATCAGTTACCTTCGTCAGAGAGGTGAGGTCCAAAGCGTTTGTTATTTTTCCTCCTTGCTTTTTAATAAGTTTCTCCCACAAAACTAAAATTACGCAGAATTAATAGTTATTTTATTCCACATTACCACAAGTTTAATTTTCATCATTTTTATGAATTACTGTGTGTCGTGTCTTTACTGTATCTTGAGCCGTAGTCAGGTCTTGGGATGAGGATGATTTTGCCATACATTTTACACATCGATTTAAGATCAGAATTCTGTGGGCCTTTTGTTGTTCCAATTATCAGGACACGATCTTCTGGTTTGATCAGTTTAAGACACTTAGGCAAATCTTTTTTCAGTCGCCTAGGTTCCAGCTGTTCATAAAACACAAAAGAGTTAAAACTGCAATGAAATTAAATCAATCAAAATATTTTATTTTACAATATGACAGTTATGAATGTGTTTATTTTTTTTTTTAATCTGAAGTACCTGTTCTTCATCCTTGGGAACTTTTTTGTAGAACATTTTCTCCGCATCTTGAATCCAAATCACAGAGGGTTGCAAAAGCCTTGCAACCTGAATATAAATCGACTATGAAAAACTGCTTCTGTACTATTTGGCTAACCGACTGCTAAAAGAACTTTGAGTACACAAAATATTTTCAGTGGTGATTTGCAACTCTGCACATTGTTATAGGTAGGTAAGGCCATAAACTTCTAACAATACAAAAGAAGCAAACACTCATCCATCTCTGACAATCATAGCGTTTGTAAGCCATTGAAATGAATAATCTTTCCCAAAAATCTGACCTGTTCTGGAAACTAAATGGATATTTTGATCTGTACATTTTTAGATTAGACTTATTAAAGGCAAAAATATAAACCACAAAGAAAGAAATAGAGTTACATGGGAATATAGAATACATCTTAACATCTAAGTGATATTAGAAAATTGAAGCAATGTTTTGGCATCCAGAGTCCTACCTTAAACACCATATGAAGCATCATGGCCAGTCCAGGCTTGCCTGGGTATTTTCCTGCTGTGCTATAGGGGGACAAATCAAACATAGTGGCCCCCGTCTCCTGGCAAATTGCATGGACCAACATGCTCTTGCCCACACCTGCCGGCCCCACCAGCAGTATGGACTTTATTAGAGGAGCCTTCTCATGAACCTCTGGAGCGCCTGCAAACCACATACATTTCAAACCATACAAGTGTTATAAATTCATGGTAACATATATTAATAAATACAAAATATTTATAATAAGTTCCATACCTAATGGTAAAATTCCATATAAAGATAAGACTTGACGGACATCTAACAATGATGGCATGGGCTCGATGTCGTTTTGTCTCAGTGTAGTACCAAGATAATTATAGTCACCTGGAAAGGAAATAGAAAACAGAACTTTTGTTATTTGCTTGTTATTTTTGATTAAGAGTTGAATGAAGTTTCTTTAATATCTAGAAGGCAGTTTTATCATTAAAGAACATATCACTGTCCTTAATATAAAAAAATAGCTTTGATAGGCAGCATCTCATGCCAAAATCTATAAATAAACCTCAATAAACAGTTGTTATTAACACATTTTACAGAACCTACATTCTCTAAGGACTTATTAGTTTAATCAGTTTTCACATAAGCTGGCAAAGGAGCCAGAAGAGGGCAGCACATCATAGCTAATTACATGGCAGATGAAAATGAATTTCTTCTTTTAAAAGAGTTTTCTTGTTTCCACACATCTCTTGCAATCTGAGGTAAAAATCACAAATACAACTACAGAAAAAATATATTGCCCAATGTCTTACCCAAGAAATCTTGCATCCGAAAATTTTTTGCCCGTTTCAGTAAGCCTTGCTGCACAAGCTCTTCACACAAAGACTCAAGGGTCCTAGCAGATGTAAAGAAATTAAGTTTATGTTATTTTGGTGGTTTGTTTTGTTTTGTTTCCTGAAACTTACAAATGTATGTGATCCCTTTAACATCACCTATCAGGTGTCAGATCTTTTTCCTTTTTCTTCTTCTTTCCACCTTTAGACCCTTTTTTCTTCTGTGTAGTTAATTAAGATATTAATCACATCAATGCAATGCATGCAAAATTAGATCAGATTTTAATGTTGGTACCTTTGGTCCTTTTTGTTTGCCAGGTTTCTCTTTATCTACAGCCAACTTCAACTCAGCAAGTTCCTCTCGCATCTCCTCATCAACCTGAAGAAATAGGGAAAAATGGTGAGTGAGCATCTGTCTGTCTGTCTGACTTTTTGTCTGTGGAGTTTGTTGTAGCTAGGTAGATCTTTTTGAAGATAACTTCAAAAAGGTTAGATAGACAAAAAAGCCCTCAAAGGTTTTACAACTGAATGTGAGGAATGGGTCAAACTTTCTTCAGTCCTATGTCAGTGACTGATGGATGGCTTGTAAAAGCTGTTCATTCAACTAAAGGGGATAACACTCACTTTTAGGGATTTTTCTCATTTAGAGAAAAAAACCTTTTTTTTTTTTTTTTTTTTTTTTTTTTTTTTTTTGTCCTTTTTGCTCCCACGTCTTCAGGAAGGAGGGGCAGCAACAATAAGAAAGAAACACCAGAGAAACACTTGTGTGAAGTTACATCCCTTTGTTTTTCAAATCTTAAATATTATATCGGCACAAAAGAAAATATTTTGGCCGCACAAACCTGTACAAATATAGCACAGTTGATTGATCTGCTTGGTAAGTGTACAAATTATGTTTTCTATCAATGTTGAAGAATTTTAAGCAATAATTTGAGCCGACAAAAACCAAGGAAGGTTTTATGGTTAAATAAAATCAATAGTGACACGGGTACAGCAATACCTGTAATCGAACTTCCTCTTCTACGATTTTTCTCATTTCTTCCTTAATCAGCTCCACTTCGTGAATCTGGGTGAAGTTTTCAGACTCATTACGGGTTTTCCAAACCTCTGTGAGTAGAAAGACTTTGTAAGGTTTTATGGTAATACCAACAATTCTTTCACATGACTCTTTTACTTAGAGGGAAGAAAAGAACAACATAGAAGAAAACCATTAGGGCACTTTGTCTTTTTTAACTCACATTGCTAGTGAGTGCAAGAACACTCAAAAGCATACTTGTGAGTGTACTCAGAAATCGTATTTTCATCATAAATGTTTGGGACTGTAAACAATCTTCAAACATCAGATTTCTTTAACATTTTACATGTGAAACCACCTTCATATCTTTTGTTTGCCACTTCCAATTCTGAAAGAAAAGCAGATGGCATCATCGTCAACCCTTCATCATCCTGTGAGTCCGAACAAAGTTAAATTAGATCATCACAAACGAGCAATGCACTGTCTAAGCTGCTCTAATGACATGTTCAAATTTTTTCACTTACGTCCTCTGCACCCTTCCCCTTTCCCTTGTCTTTCTTATCTTTTGCCTTCTTGTCGTCCTTCCCTTTCGCTTTTGATTTGGACGCTGCCTCCTCTTCTTGTAAAGCAATTTCTTCCACTAACTGAAAGTGGCAAACCGTATTTTACAAAATATCCAGAAAATATTTATTTTTCCATTTAATTCAAGATGCATTTCACCTGCTGAGGGGTTTTTTCAGCAAATATGATGGCTGAACCTCCCTCTTCAACAGTTGGATAGTCTGGAAATAGTCCTGTGGTATTACTTTAAAACATAATAAAGAATAAGAAATCAGTGTCAGTCACTGACGTCAATAATTTTGAAAATACTTCTTTACATCACCAAATACAACCCTACTGCAGGCCCAAACCTCACCGACATTCATAAAACCACTGTCGAATCTGATTTTTCATCGTCTTGGCCATGTCATTCCACTCCAATTCTCGTATTTGCTTCAAAATTGCATCTATTGCATTTAGGTAAACTTCCTCGTGTTTCTTTTGTCTAACTCGAATGGAAGTGTCGATAGCTTGGGCATCAATCTCTGCCTGAAGAGGGGTCTGGTATTTCGGATCCATAACCTGGCACAAATAATAAATATGTTAACAAAATGTACTTGTTCCAAGATTTTAGAAAGGTAACTAGGGCAAAAAGAGATATAAAATTTTGAGTAAAAATATCATGAGCTCAAGCTTAAAGTAATGCCTTATGGTGTATTATCAATACATAAATGGTAGCTTTAAAAAAATATATTATAATTTCAAGGTTCAGGATACAGAACAAAATGGATCATCTGACTTACCATTCCAAGAAAAATCATCTCCTCATCTCGAGCAATCCTTGTTTTCTTTCTTTGTAAGTACCCCTTCCATATCTGGAAATAAAGTTCAACCAGAATAAATAAGGTCCAACAGATGAATCCCAGATAGAGAAAATGTCACATAATGTTTAAGAGAAACAACCTTCTGAATGCGGATGGCGGCCAACTCATTGAAAGCTGATCCAGCGGATTTGGCCCTGTGCCGTCTGTCGAAATTGCTAAATCTGACGTCTTTGTTTAACTTTGCCCTAATCCTCCCTTGCCACGCCCTCTCCACCATTTGAATGATCTTTATGGCCTCCGCTTCAGTCATAACTTTGTCCATTGAAGTCTGCAGGGACCCCCAAAAAAATCAAACAAAAACATGATAAACAAGGAAACACAAATAATTCTCTGATTGTAAAAGAAAGAGTGATCCGCTAAATATTAAGTCTTGCTTTTAAAATAAAATAATGTGTCATGTTAAAGTCACTTTTAAATGTTGAAGGCTTGCATGTGTACCAAAATCAAGTGATCTGTTTCAAATCTAAGACACAAAGAGTTCTATTTACAAGTAGTGTCATTTTAACCTACATCAAGGTCTTTTGAACCATCCGCCAAATTCAGGACATCCAGCACCATCGTTTTTCGTTCTTCAGTTTCTTTGCTGCGCTCACCGACAAAGAAGTATGGAATGGGGATCTCAAGTGCAGGCTAAAAAGACAATGATGCTAAGAGTTTGAGAGTTATCTTCTACAAATGCATCGAGTATCAAGAAAAATGTCTTTCCAGTACCAGTTAAATATTTCTTTTGATTTTGCTTTTTTGTCACAGTTAGTGAAATGCAAAAACTCTTCCACGACACTTGAGATTTATCAGCAATAAATATACAGTGTATGAAAATTAAACAAACCTATTTTCAAAAAAAAACTTACAGGCGTGAGTTTCAGTGCATGCAGGATGTCATCCACATAGTGGTACTCTGAAAACTCTTTCTCCACCATTTCATACTTCAGTTCTAGCACCCGCCCCATTACGCCCTTGAGAAGTAGAAGAATAAGTCGTCTCTTCTGAGGGTGGACCAGCATGTTGTGGGCTTCCTCCAGCTGCCTGAAGACTTGAACGTAGCGCACATAAAGGGTCGCCAGCCGCTGGAAGAACACCACTCTGTCTCGCTGAGGTGGAATGGGCACAGGAGGTAGTTCTTCAGCCAGGAGACTACTCAGCTCTGACATGGCATCTTTCCAGACCTGGTTGTAGGAACTGGGACAGTGTAAACACGGAGATAAAATAAAGGAAAGACAAGAAATATTACACCATGACATTATATTTCAGGCAAGAGTATCCTAATGGAACAATGTATTGTAAATTGTACCTCAAAATACAATTTAGCATTAAGGTATAGTGGTGTGTACTTGTTCTTAGTTCCCTGGCAAAAAAACAAAATCTTGTACTTGTACTTGTACAAGATGCATAGTATGGGGTTCCATTGGAGCCAAATTATGAATTAATGAGTTATAAAACCATAGAGTACTTTTGATTACTTAAATTAATTCAGTTGTTTGTGAAACATCCCCATTGCTTTATCACTCCATTTATATTAGAGCCTTTGACAACATGACATTGTTTTTTGACTGAATGCCTTACTCCTTTCACCAACATTTTTCACTGTGGCCACTATGTCTTTCTTTCCCCATAAAACTTTTCTCCAGAAAGAATTTGGCAAATTTTAGTCAAACTTCAAGGCTTTGATTTAGGTCAGCACCCTCTAAATCCATGTTGATGTTAAACTCGCTTCACTGCAGACAGGGACACTAATGTTCCAGTACCTCCAAGTCCAATAGGTTTGTACCTCAGCGGATTATTCCTAATTATTCTAATGACTTTATTTCCACTGAAGGTGATAGCTTATGTCAATACTTGAACACAAGTCTGTGTTAACAGAAAATGGATCTCAAACACATATCTCAGCTAGTTTTTTGAAATGGAGTGAAAATATGTTTAAATATGCACGCATAATCTTGACCCTGAGTATTAGAGAAAGCTCAAAATAAATTCCACTCCACTCTTCGTAGTTTCTATGAAATAATTACTTGACTGTGAATAACATAAAAAAGTGGCTAAAGGACGCGTGACGTAATCTTCTCAGTGGTTCAGTAGATTTCCTGCCAGCAGGATGTTGTTTGATTACTTTATGGTTCGAAAGTTACTTTCTTTAATCTTCTCAAAGAACTAAGTAGCATTAACTGAACGCTTTGACATGCATTTTGATTGGCAAGACATCAAACCTGTAAGTAGTTTATTTTCTTCCTTGCTGCATCTCTGAAATCCTCCCACCAGCAGCTAGCTAAAATATCTTTGAGAAGCTAAACATTGGGAATGAAACAACCGTAAAAACAAATTCCACAATGGTTTTTGGAAAGGTTACCTTTGCGACATGTCTGTGTATCAATTTCGTGGGGGTAAAGCAGCACAATTATGAAATAAAGTGCCAAAACTGTGCTAAAATACGGTGCTCCGATCAAAGTGTCGACCTTGGTTTCCAGGCTAACCAATCGCGTTTACTGTTTCTATGGTAACCGCTAACATTTGGAGTAACAGCGGAAGTTTCTATTGTAGACAGGCGTGGCAGGATTGTTTTGTTTGTTTGTTTTTTTACGGAGAGAAAACAACTTTATGTTTGGTATTCAGGTTAAAATCAAGAAGATATGTTTCAATAATAAATAAATAACTTAGATTCTTTTTTTAAAGTGACGGAGAGACGTAACTATTACAGAACGAACGTTCTGTTTGAAATTATATTAATAAAAATAGGTGCAACTAACTAAAGAAACAGAGCTCTAAATAAATATTACAGTTTCACAACAAAAAGACTGTTAATGAAATGCAGTAACAGTGCAAACTACCTGCGAGACTACATGTCCTCCAAGTGGCACAGCAGGTTCAGCAGATGAATATAATATTAAAACAACCTTATGCACTAAAAAGAAGAATCAGTTTAACAAGAATGTGAGGCTGTGACTGTGCACTGTAAAATAAAAACAAATAAACAATTCTTTTTTTATTATTTCAAAAGCTGTTTTATGGAGATGTGTTCACATTAGAAACAAACACAAAAAAGATCACTCAAATAGTAGTTGACCTTTTTCCTTTTCATTCTGAGAAAATAGTCTGTTTCTTTTATTGCCTCAATAACTGCAATAAAAATAACAAAGGCTTTACTATTCATTATGGCAATAACATGGCCAACATAATGATGGGACTTGACAGTTTTTGGAGGGTACGCTACAGAACGTAATTGCTGAAGCTGCTGGGGGCTACATCGAAGCATATTAGTAGAAAATTGAGTGGAAGGAAACATGTAGCAGAAATTACTAAAGGCTAAAGGGTTGTGATCCAAGTCCCTTTGAAGAGTTTGAGGGAGATTCATAAATTGTGGGAAATAGCTGGTGTTAATACTTTAAGAACCACAACTACTGCATTTCTTCCGTTAAGCTTCTCCTGAATCAGAGACAACTTCAGAGCCATCTAAAAGAAAATGAGAAGGACTGTCAGTCAGACATCCAAAGTCCTCCTTTAAGATACAAGTAAAACTTGGCTTTTATTTGGAAATCAAGATCCAAGAATCGGTCGGTGAACTTGAGAAGCACAGAACTCCACTGGTAAGTTTCCACAGTCAGTGATGATTTGGGGTGGGGAGCCATACCATTTCTGTTCTTGGTCCAATGTTTTTTTTTTTTTTTTGTTTTTTATCAGGTCAACAGTCAGTGCAGCCAGGAAATTTTTGTGCACTATGGAGATGCTAATTTCATTTTCGAACAAGACCTGATCCCTATACACAATACCTTAATTGGAAACTTTAATTAACTTGGAATCATTGTACTTCCCTCACCTAAACCCCTTATAGCAACTGAAGATATGCAAGATGAAAACCACTATTAAACAACCTCGGCTAAATTAACACCTCAGCAGGGCTGCATTGATGCAGCAGTTCATGCTAAAGGGGCTCTGACAAAGCACTGAAGGCATATGCCTGCTCAACAGCTCTGTATTAAAATCTTTCTTTCATATCCTCTATACATTCTACGTTCCCTAAGAGGTGCAGGTTGTCAGTACCTGTAAGCCATAATCATGAAAATAAACTGAAATAAGCACAGGAAATATAGCACTCTGATATCTATATCATAAATTGCAAATGCTGAAATAAATTAACTTTTCAAAGAGATTTTAATTTATTGAGATGCCCCACTACCTCTCTGTTCTTTCAACTTTTTTTTTTCTTAAATGTGATTTAACTTATAACTATCAATGACATATGGACAAAATTAAGACTTGATTTGTCATGCATTAGTCAATTTTTTGTTTGTTTGTTTCGCTCCGAGCTAAAGGGAAAAGAAATTATTTCGTTTTTTTCCTCTCTAAAAATTCCAATTCTAAATGGACCCTTACATACCCCTGGCGTTATTCTTCCAAGCTGCATCACCATAAAGATTTCTGTTCGGGAGTTAACTTGCCGGATGGATGCTCCTGGAGGCGCATTCTCTGCAGCGCTTAGGAGGTCACAAGACTTGGACATCAGTGAACAAAAACATCGGCACGTTGACAGCTCGACTGCAAGCTTATAGGCCCTCAGATTCTCCAGTTCTCTGCATCCAGCATCCAACAAGTTGCTCCCTTTTTGGAAAACTACTTCACTGCGCGCTGTTGCGCTCCTGTATTTTTCGTGCGCCAAGCTCTTTTTTTAAAAAAAGAAAAAAGAAAAAAAAAGAACATGCAATCTTAAAGCGCGTTTTCTTCTTTCCTCACTCCCAAACTTTATCTCAAAAGGATCATCGACTTTTTATGGGCTCGAAACAACTGCAGATGAAACTTTTCTTGTGCGTAAAGGTGTGGGGCGCGCCAAAGTGAACATGTGCCTCTGGGACAAAAGAGGGGAGAAAATACTCCGAAGATGTCAACATTGCTTTACCACCCACTCGAAATCGATTGTATTACCTTCAAGAAGGTGGCACTCGGTATAAATAGCTACGCAATTTTTCAAGAAAGACGGCGTTGAGCACAATCTGCAGGCTGTTCTTTCTCTCTCTTATCGGAACCGCAGACAACGCCTGGAAGAATTTCCTCAAGACAACTGTGTCCACTCTCCAGGACATCAGCATCTCCTCAACCGGTGAGTTCTGGATTTAGCTAAGTGCATTTACTTTATTATAAGTAAAAAAATAAAAAATAAAAAAAAAAGAAGAAGAAGAAGGGGAAAAAAACTAAATAGAATCCCAGAGAGAATCGTGCCTAGCCTGTCATGCACCATTTCTTTAATGGGATGCCTGGCAAATACAGGTTGCGTGTGTTCCATGAGACAAGGAGTGTTTTAGTTTTTTACGCAAAAGTAGGAACGAAAAAAAAAGATTATTACAGCGTGTGCAGCTTGTTAAATGTCTAACTTTAGATTACATCTTTAACAACAACCAAACTTATTTATTTATTTATTTATTTATTTATTTATTTATTTATTTTTTCCCAGACAGTCAAGCCATGCATGTGGAGAGGAAATGGCACATACTGTTGACCATCTTCTTTCTGCTCATCTCCTCGGGTCAGTGCATGGACAGCAAAGAGGTCAAGCAGAATGAGAGAAGGACCCTGTTGGATCTAATTTTACAGGTTATCAAGGACAGCCAGCAACGGGACAAGCCCGTGTCTAGGCACTGTGGCAGTGGACTCCACACCTCAGCACAAGACTTCAAGTCCTCTTCCCGGGAAAAGCCTTTGTATGTCCCTAGGCTGGATAACACTAGACTCATAGGTAAGCTGATAAGATTTATTTTTAGGACCTGATGATGAATGCATAATCCCCATTTTACTGTTGGAGACAGCTGTCATTGGTCTGCTCAGCGCTCCTCTTCTAATGTAGGACCTGTCTCTGGTTTGGCTAAACTGAAACTTTAAACTATGTGCATGTTTTAAGTTAATTCAAGAGATCTGGACATTTTACTGACTACAAGTCTGGATAGCCAAGGGAACAATGCCCATACATATTTGACATAAGTATGCGAATTGCATGTGCAGCTCAGGTTGCAATGATTATATAATGCATTTAACGCAGGTAAGCTTAATGTGTGCAAGACTAAGAGTTTACATCATACTTACTCTGATTAGATACATCTCCTTCACGTGTTTTGGACATATTTAAACTGTGAATGACTGATTAGTAGAGGAACCTATCATCAAATGTGGTAGGAGGAGCATCGTGGGGCCAAACCTATGAATGATTCATTCAGAATGATTCATTGATCATCTTTAAATATGAATGACATCCGTAAATGTTGCTCTTCACCCACATTGGGTGCGTTTTTGTGTTTTGTGCTTCATTTCTAAACTCGTTTTCTTTGAAACATATTGAATGTCGCATTCGGAGTCTCTTGTACATGAAAAAAAAAAATGGAACTCTGCATTTACTGTCTTAAAGTACAGCATTATGTCCAGTCAATCATTTGTACATGTGCTTTTATTCTCCTCAGTTCCAGGCTTCACTGAAATCAACACATAGACGAGAATTAATATTTTTTTTCAAGAATTGCACCTCGGTGTGGTGTGTAAAATGAACATAATGTGTTTGTTTAAGATAATCACTGTCAGTTAGATCATGCCTTTGCGATGCTGAACAGACAGCACACAGCTGAAAGTCTTGGCCTCATCTTGTGCAATTTGAGAAGTACTTTTCTCAGACCAGTGGCTAGATGGAATTTATCTTTTGAGGATATTAAAGGCAGCATATTAGCACTGGTGCATGTGAGACCACTGGAAGAACGATCGTCACGCAATGATGAAGGCATAAACACAGTGAGGATGAGGGGGGACATGTTGTGGAGTTGTTCCCTGTGTGTTCCTCTCAAGCCGTGGCTGTGGCATCAGAATGACAGCTGTGGTGAGACTAAGATAAAACAAGCAAACACATGCATTTTATATCTGTTTTTTTTTTTTGTTTGTTTGTTTTGTTTTTTTGATGATGCAACCTTTAGCTGAGGAGTTGAAGCTTAGCTGTTAGTCTTTTAGGAAAATGAGGGGACTGCATGCAAAACATTTGTTTTACATAGACATACCTTCATGTTTAGACTTGAAGAAATGTTTGTATTTTTTCTGGAATACCCCTTTAATAGTATATGCTGCCATTTATTCAGAATAAGACAAAAACTATTTTACGTTTGCTGGTTTTCAGCCTGGTGCAATGACTGTCAATCATTATTCCCATCTTGTAACCACATTACAGTCTACTGACTCTGGAGACTAAAGTGCAATCAACCATGTATTACAAGGACTTATTATGATCAGCATTTAACCCCCCCAAAATAATCACTTTAGGCTGTCAGCAATGGTATTGTGTTGTTGGACTTTTGCATGTTATATAATGCCCTGCAAAAATATTATTACCTCTGAAACTTTTCAAATTTTTCCATGTCACAATGTAATGTTCAACATATTTGGTTGGAATTTTGAGTATAATATATGAAGTATGTGTAGAAACCAAATCCCTCCATTCATCGTCTAAACCTGCTCATTCTTGCAGAGCCTCAGTGGGGCTGATGTCTTTCTCAGGGTACAGCCTGGACAGGTTGCCAAACCATTGCAGTAGAGATTAAATCATAAAGGGCATTTTTTTATTTTTTTTATTTCTAGGTTGGTTACCTCTCAGCCCTTATAATAAATTTAAAACTATAGATTCTTAATGAAAGAGGGAGCTTCAGCTTGTACATGCATTTTATTCCACTTCTTTAAGCCTTTCACTTTTTTTCATGTTGTAATGTAATGTAATATAATGTATATTGATGGCATTGATGCATAACTGTGATGTGTAAGGAAAATTGTTTTAGAAATATTTCTACTGAAAATCTGAAAAGCGTTTTGTTCATATATTATGTCCTCAACATCTATATTAGAATACCCCTGGTTGAAATTACAGCATAAATCCAGCTTTTCTTTGAAGGCCTCAGAGTTTGGTTTGAGAACAGCAAGCAGCATCACGAAGACCAAGGAGGACAGCAGACAAGTTGAGGAAAAGTTGGGGTAAAGTTTAAAACAGGATATAAAATTAGATCCCAACAGCACAGTGATACTTCAAAAATAGAGTGTGGCACAACTATAAACCTTCCAAAATATCGCTGTGCATCGAAGCTGTCAGGCTAGTCAAAGAGAAAGCTCTGATACTGCGAGCTCTGCAGATGATGAAACAAACATGTGGACGTAAATGCCCTGATCAGATAAAACCAGATGCATTTTCACCTGCATGCAAAATCATATGTGCAGCAAAAAAATTGACACTTCACGTCCCCCTGATCACACCTGCGATAAGAAGCGGAGGTGGCAGCATCATGCTATGTTTTTTTGTTTCTTGGGGGGGGGGGGGGGGGGGGGCGGGGGGGGGAGGAGAGGGGGAAAGGATAAAAAAAAAATAGGTGGGGGTTTTTT